CCGAAATTAAGCATAAGTTTTCAAAAACAAGTTTTCCTCCATTTTAAACAATGTTACATTTTAACATTCAACAATTCGACCCATTACGTAGGTCTTTGGCGACTAAAAGGAATTTTGTCGCCGAAAGTTAACATTTGGCGACCAAAATTTTGGTCGGCAAAGATTAAAAATTAATTTTTTTATTTTCATTCGGCTACCAAATAATTTAGTAGCTAAAGGTACCTCTACGGCTACTAAATTTTCTTTTAGTCGCCAATTGTGATATGTTTAGCTACTAAAAATTTTTTTAGTCGCCAATTGTAATATTTTTAGCTACTAAATTTTTTTTAGTCGCCAATAATCAACATTCCCCTACTAAAAAAAATTAGTAGCTAAAAAGTTGACTTTTGCCGACTAATATTATTTTTGGTAGCCAATTCTGTGACTTTTGGCGACTAAATTGTTTTTGGTAGCCAAAAATGGTCGGCAAAAATGCATTTTCTTGTAGTGAAATAAGTCTTTATTGATGAAACATACAAAGTATGATTAGATACATCAATAAAGAGGAGCTTGGAGCTAACACGAAGCTCCAAGCGCCAGTTGGTGAGTAACCAACAAAAAGGAAAACAAAAGAAGCTGCCACAAAAACAAACAGAGAAAAGAATAACACCAAAAAACCCAAAAACCAGATAGGAGCCTCCAGGGCATTCAGCCCATTGAAAATCAACCCATTTGCATTCATCCCATTGACATTCCTCCCAATGACACCGAAAAACCAACCACTAACACATTGACATTCATCCCATTGAAGCATCAACAGCATTGCCATATCAGATGCAGACCAGCAAAGGAGCTACCTAGCAGCAGACTTCCACCCAAAACCCCATCATTTGCATTCCACCAAGTGCACCCCACAGAAACCATTGCAAATACACCCAATATTCAAACCACTAAACAATGCAAATGTATAGCTGCAATTTCTCATCAAAATAACAACTAGTCTCCATTCACATCACAGCAGAAAAAACAATCAGCAAAACTACAAACAGACCACCACACTGCCCCTAGGCCAGTGCATAACGAGCAAACCTTCTCTGCAGACTAACAGAGCAGCTCTCAACCGCCTGGGACTAGAAAGAACCTGCTTATACCAGAATGGACAAGACAGTATAACAGAGCAGACTAGAAACCAGATCAGAAGAGATTAACTAATCCGATGGACCAGATCAGAAGAAGCAAAATAGCAGGACAACTGAGGTAGATTAAACAGATCAGTGTAGAGGAAGCAGATTAATATCACAGCAGCAAACCAAAGCATCAAGAAACACCCCTGGATCCATTCCCCAAGCAAAATCTGATGTGCTCCAAATTAAAAATGAAATCATGCACAGAGAACCTACTATCCTTAAATGCCTCCTTAAACCAGACAGCCATTCTTAACTTAATCAGATCAGAAACACCCTCTCCACTTGGGGTAACATCTCGAAATAAGCATTCGTTACGATGGTTCCATAGCGCCCACATAACAACCAAAGGTAGAGCTTTCCACATCAACCTCACATTTTTCCTAAACCGCACCCCGGCCCACCAGTCAAGAACAACTTCCACTGAATTTGGCAGAGCACCTTGAACATCCCACCATTTTAGTATTGCAGACCATACAGTCCAAGCCACTTGGCATGACAGTAGCACATGGTTAACTGACTCAACCCCAGACTTGCACATACAACATACTGAGGGTGCATTAGCATGCAGAACACCAATCCTAGTAAGAAATTCAGAAGTCTTTAATTTTCCTTTCCAAGCAAGCCATCCAAAAAATTGAACTCTAGGTGGAATGTGTTTTACCCAAATCCTTTTACTGATTGGACTGAAGCTACCGAAACCCTCTGCGATAAATCTGTACACTGATTCAACCGAAAAACTCCCTGTTTTTGAAGCCATCCACACTAGTGTATCTTCTTCAGAGTTCCTAAGAACTGAGCCTGCCTCTAGCTGGTTTAACAATCTGGTTGCCTCCAAACTTTCCCAATCATACAATTCCCTTCTAAGATGGAACACCCACTCACCAGTATCCTCCTTCCTATCCAGCATTACAGCTAGAGTCACACCCTTTTCACCTACCAACCTATACAAGAGTGGGAATTCATCTTTGAGACATAAGTTGTTACACCATTTATCCACCCAAAACTTAACTCTATGGCCATTCCACACTTTCACCTTACAGTTATTCAGATAGAACTCCAGCAGATTGCTACTCTGATCTGAACCTGATAATATGTCTTTCCACATTTTAGAAAACCTATTAATGGGGCTAGCAGGAGGGTTCCAACTCCCCTCCTCTAACCGATATTTGCTGCAAATGACTCTCCTCCACAGAGCTTTGTTCTCAACCCCGAACCTCCACCTCCATTTCAACAAAAGGCAATTATTAACCTCCTTAACTCTCCTAACCCCCAAACCCCCTTGCTGCACTGGTTTAGCTACTTCCTTCCATTTTACCAAGTGAACCTTCCCCTTCAATTCATAACCACCCCAGAGGAAAGAAGCCTGAATCTTATCCAGGTCTCTGGCTACCCCTTGAGGCAATTTATACAATGACAGATAATAAATGGGCAGAGAGGACAGAACCGACTTAATTAACGTAAGTCTCCCAGCAAATGAAAGTAATTTCCTTTTCCAGCCTGATAATTTACTTCTAAACTTGTCCAGAACAGGCCTCCATGTTGCTTTCCTACTTGGGTTAGCACCCAATGGGAGTCCAAGGTACTGAAATGGCATAGTTCTTACTTTACAATTTAGCAGTGAAGCAAACTCCAACATCTCCTCATATGGAACACACACTCCACTAACAATGCTTTTGTGGTAGTTTATCTTAAGACCTGAAAGCATCTCAAAACACCTCAGAATCTTCTTAAGATTTCGCACCTCCCGAACATTAGCTTCACACAATATTAGTGAATCATCTGCAAACTGAAGGTGAGTAAGTTCCACCCCACCGGTGCCAATCTTCACCCCTTTTATTATCCCCAAATTCAAAGCTCTTGACATTAAAATGCTCAACCCCTCTGCAGCTATATTAAACAAGAAGGGAGACAAGGGATCCCCTTGTCTAAGACCTCTTTGGGGACTGAATTCCTCAGAAGGAGCTCCATTGACAAGTACAGATAATCTCACAGAAGTTATACATACCCTAATCCACTGCACCCATTTCTCGCCAAACCCAAAATTTTCCAACATAGAGAACAGAAACTCCCAATTCAGTGTGTCAAAAGCTTTCTCAAAATCAAGTTTTAAAATCAATCCTCTCTTCCTAGATTTCTTCCAACTATCCACAACCTCATTAGCCACCAACACACCATCTAAGATGTTCCTGCCTCCAATAAATGCTGTTTGATTCACACTAATGATGTGAGGGATGACTGCCTTCAACCTTGAGGATAAAACCTTACTGAGGATTTTATACAACGACCCAACCAGACTGATAGGTCTGTAATCGGCTAAGCCCATAGGATTCTCCTTCTTAGGGACCAAAGTAATGAATGAACTGTTTATCCCTCTAACCAGCTTACTGTTTTTGTGGAAATCCACCATGAAAGATAGCACATCAGACTTCATTACCTTCCACAATTTCTAAAAGCATGTCAAGTTAAACCCATCTGGGCCTGGAGCCCTATTACCATCACAACCCTTAACAGCACTCCATATCTCTTCCTCAGAGAATTCTGATTCCAACTTATCAAAATAGGGACTTTCCCTCACTGACTGGAAGGGTCCCTCTAATAAAGGTCTACACTTCCAAACCTCAGTAAATTGCTTTTGAAAATGAGCGTGGACCCCTTGCTTAACTTTGCATGGATCATCTATGACCACATCCCCAATGGTTAGAGAGTTAATTTCATTTCTCCCCTGTCTACACTTAACAGTCACATGAAAATACCGAGTGCTTTTATCCCCATTCAAATTCCAATTGAGTCTTGACTTTTGAAGCCACAACCAGTCCACCATTCTAGTCAGCCTGCAAGCTTCAGCTCTAGCCTCCCTTCTTCTAGCTTTTTCTACCTCTTCAAGCTCCCTTTCTTCTGCAACCAGATCAAACATATGAAGTTCATCCTGTACTTGCTTCAACTTAGTATTCACATTACCGAAAACTTCACAGTTCCACTGTTTGAGTGTTATTTTCAACCCTTTCAGCTTCTGAAACAATCTAAAACCAGCCCATCCCTCCACCTGCTGCTCCGTCCACCACTTTTCCACAAAAGGTAGGAAGTTAGAATGTAAAGTCCAAGCATTTATAAACCTAAAGGGTCTAGGGCCCCAATCTCTCTCATCTTCCATTAAAAGTAAAGGGCTATGATCAGACAAAACTCTAGGTAACCCCCACAACTTCAGGTTGAAAGATTCCAGCCATTTTGGATCCACTAAAACCCTATCAATTCTGCTCCACTTCTCCCCTTCCCTGGCATTACACCATGTATACCTTCTACCCAATAGGGGCAAGTCATTTACCTCACTTTTATCAATGAAATCATTCAATTCCTTCATTTCCCTCTCCCTCCTAGAACAACCTTTCCTCTCTCCAATATTTGTAATTTCATTGAAGTCCCCTCCTATACACTAGGGATTAGAAAACTCCTCTTTTAGTTTCAAGAGACACTCCCACAGTTTCCCTCTCTGACCCACTTCATTAGGAGCATACAGATTAATTAAGACACATTCGAAGGAGAAGAATAAAGTACCAGAGAGAAGGATGAATCTTCTATTACAATAGCAACTAAATACCTGAAACATACCTGGATCCCATATACATAATAGGCCACCTGCAGATCCTTCAGCATCCACCGTCATGAATTCCAACCTATCTCTAGCCCAGAGATCCTTAATCTCCTTATCTGATAAAGAAGCCTTCTTTGTTTCCTGAAATAGAGCAATATCAACTCCTCTAGCTTTCAAAATACATTTAATTTATTCCTTTTTTCCTTTTTTCCCAAACCCCTTACATTCCATGATAGTATCTTCATCATTATAACAAAAACACTTACCCTCTGACCCCTAGATGCTGCACTTTATGCTGTAGCACTGAACTCCCCTCCCATTTTTTCTCTATCCTTTGCCTCAAGATCCATAATTCTGGACAACACAACCTCTTCATTACCTTTGTAGTTAACTCCCAGCAATTTCCCCATTTGTAAAGTCTCTTTAGCCTCTTTAAGCAAAGTCCTGTTTCTGGCCTCCCCACTTACATATGATGCAGAACCAGTTGCTGCCATGGCTGCTGCTCTCCAAATTGCCCCTTTTGGACCCAATTTAGTTGATGAGGCTCCTTTATGACCCCAGCTTTTTACAAGCTCATTTTTCATCTGTTTAAGCTTCTTCCCACCAGAGTGTTTAACTACTCTTTTCCCCCCTTTCTTCTTCTATAATTCTGAACTTAAGTGTGCTGCGTCGTTCTGGGTATGTGATACCTCTGAACATATTATTAAAGGGCCAACTACATGTTGAGACCCACTCTGGAGACCTGAATTCAGGCCTTGGGCTTGTGCCTCCACCCTTTTTTCCATATTTTCAAGCCCATTTCCTAAGCCCACCTCATTACCCAGACCCAACTCCACCTCTAAATACACCCTAGGTTAAGTAAGCTAGAGCCACTTAAACTTCTGACAACACCATGCGTGACAACTTGCTCAAGACTTTTCTGACCTACCCCTTCGCAGTCGTTGCCTATGTTTCCAGCTGTGTTCATCATGCTACCTGTTTTCCCCTCGAGCACAGTTTCAGCCGACTCTGCCACCACTGTTTCAGAACGCCCAGGTAGCTCCATATTCACCGCATCATTGCTCCTTACTTAACATGACCCATCCCTTTGAAACACGTCATTAGCCTGGTGTAGCTTCTGTGCTGACTCATCAGCCCCGTCATCATTTCCTATAGCCTCATCACTTACAGTTTCCTTCACCACCTTCTCACCATTGTTTGTGTTACAGACCTCTTCCCCACCATACTTCTTAGAACAAACACAATTCACTGCGGTGGCATTTGGTAATCCAAATTGAAGTTCCCACACTCTTACGGATTGGAAAGAACCTTTACATTCCAGGTTAACGGCTTTATTTATTGGCTCCATACACCTGGTTATAATCTGAATCTTAGCACATTCAAATGATGCCGGGTTGCAGAGATCACCCTCAATACAAATAACCTCCCCCCAAATATTTCCAATTCTATTTAAAGTTGATCTGTTCCATAGATTCCATGGTATACTGTAACAGCATAACCACACCTTACGCTCTCTGATTCTAACAAGGTCAAGTTGCCACTCCACAATTTCCTCACAACAATCCTCTAACCACTCCTTTACGGTCCCCATACTGGCTTCCCTACATTCCTTAGATGTGAATGTTAATAACACATCCCTACCCCCTCCCTGCCTGACTACGACATTCTGCATACCCCTTTCCTGTATTTCTTTTTGAATTTGGAGGTTGGCATATTCAGATTTAAGACGAACCACTACACTGTCATATAGCCACCCGTTACCTATTTCCTCTGCCTTGATTGTTGCAATTCCATCCCCCATGACGCTAGTGTTCTTAGTAACCTCTGCATACGAACGGAGTCTTTCTGTTGACTTCCAAACACTGCTTACACCCTTTCCAGTATATGGAGGACCATTTGGTTTAGGTTGGTATTGGATTTTGTCTTCCAGAGTTACCTTGCCGTAATCTGCATGCTTCACTACCAGTTGCTTGTCCTCCACCCATAACCCGTTCGCCTTTTCACGGTGGAAGGTGGATGGATCCCTGTGTTGAGTCAGAAAAGCAGAACAGGATGGAGTAGGAAAGCTAATGCAAAACTATTCACAATATTCGTTGATGATCTGCCCAGATCAATGAATGCGAAGATGTTGGTTGACATCTTCAGGAAGTTTGGAGTGGTAAGGGATGTATACATCCCTCACAAGAGAAGGAAAGTGAGGAATAACCCGTTCGCCTTTTTCACGGTGGAAGGTGGATGGATCCCTGTGTTGAGTCAGAGTCAGAAAGGCAGAACAGGATGGAGTAGGAAAGCTAATGCAAAACTATTCACAATATTCGTTGATGATCTGCCCAGATCAATGAATGCGAAGATGTTGGTTGACATCTTCAGGAAGTTTGGAGTGGTAAGGGATGTCTACATCCCTCACAAGAGAAGGAAAGTGACTCAACGTACTTATGTGACAAGTAATTGAAGGTTTGTTTTCCTGATTAACTAGAATTTAGAAAATAATATATATAATTAGTTCAACGTTTGCATAGTCACTTAAATAAAGGGAAAAATGTGTTCAAATAGCCCTAAACGATTTTCATTGTAATTAATTAAATTTACAATAATGATTCATCCCCCATTTTCCTCCCACCCCCTTTGACCCCCTCTCTCTCTCATTGGTTACATTTTTTATTTTTTTTTCTTTTTTTTCCTGCTCTTCCAATCACCACCCGCCACGTGGCAAAGGGGGGTGAGGGGGTGACCCCCAAAAGGGGGTCCCAAGCATTATTCTTAAACTTAACAACTAATTGACTTAACTTATACATCATTAGGAGTTAATGGTAATGTTGCTTGTATGAATGAAACCTCACAAGCAGAGGCATCGCCAGTGTTACACCCCCTTTAAAGTCTAAATTTAGACTTTTGGATTGACCCTATTTGACGTTCCACATGCATATGGGGCATTCAAATGACAATTGAGGTGAAAACCAACTCTCGGCATTTGGTGCCATTAATTTATTATTTTTGAGTTCAATTTAATCTTATTTATTTGGTTGATAATAACTACGCAAAATGACCTAACAATAACAAATTTACTCATTCAATTTACACTTTTCTTTTTTTTTTTTTTTGGACCATGTTGAATGAAATAACACTAACAAAATTAAAATAATCAAACAATAAAGCTTTAAAAAGATGGACACAAAATCAACATTATAAAAAAATAGTAAATGAAAAAAAAATTTAATTTTTTTATAAAAAATGTGTCACCTATCATTTTAGATTATTGAGTCTAATTTGAAAATTTAAAATTTTATTGCCGCCTTCCTTAGCGCACTCTTTAAGCTATCTCCTTGGTGCACTCCCTAAGACGCCTTCTTAGCGCATTTTGTTTCTTTCCAAGCCACCTTCTGACGCACATGATTCATTTCCAAGTCGTCTTTCTCTGGTGCACATAGTTCATTTGTTGCCATCACCGTTCAGTACTACGTCATAAGTTACGAGTGTACCACGTTGGTGATTCAACACATGTTCTTCTTTTACAACGGTTTAACATGACCATAAATTATCTCCCAACATTAGCTCCGGCCTCTGATCTATCTCAAACGCCTATGTACTCTCATCTGGACTTTGTAATATATTTCTCTCAGATCTATCCATGTTTTATTTTAGTTTTAGTTTTATTTCATGTTTTAATTTCTCTCTCCAATCTCAAATTGGTATCCCTACTTGAGTTTGAGAAGGGTGTTAAATATAATAACTATATATTCTGTCTATCATACACATCATATTATATTCATTTTCATTTTCATACTTAGAATCGCTATATTTAGGTTTGTTTCATTCTATATAAAAGAATCTTTTATATAATGTTATAACATTCAATATAGTACAGATCTCTCTCTCTCTCTCTCCCTTCTAGATATTGTAACACCATTTATCACATTAATTTGTAAGAAGAAATTGTTTATATATGATTTTCCATTTCATCAAATAATGTATATCACTCATGCTTTATTGCACGTCTAGTTCACAATATGGCTATTCAAAAAAAAAAAAAAAAATTGTATTAGCAAGAAAATAAAAAACTAAATTCATATCGTATTATTTGACCTAGTTCTATGCTAAACTAACCCAGTTTAATTAGAAAAACATAAAAATTGTTTCGTATTATTGCATCTGCAAATAGTGTGCCAATAACCGCGATTTGAACCAAACTAAACTAATTTTTAAGATCACTTTATATATTCTTACAAAATAGGACAAATTATCTCATCTTTCAATAACACCACTTGACTATCTACCAATCGATATTATTACATATTTTATTTATTTAGAATTCCCAAAACACTTCTGACCTATTTTGGAATTAGTGGAATAAATAATTCTGTCTTATCCATATTTATTTAGCAATGAATATGTTTTGTTTTGCATTAATAATTGTAAAATTAAAAATTTTTTGCTAATTTTGATAAGCGAAGTATCAATCAAAATTTAATCTAAATAACAAAAATTACTTGTGAGATCTCATATTATCTTCAGATCTCATAGGAGATCAATATAGTTTATTTTTCTATTTACTAGATTATGTCCACTGACAAAATGATGTAAAAGGCAGTCTAATGTAACAAATTGTCTTCAATTAGTTATGTAGTATAACCTTTTTTTTTTTTTTTTTGGCACACACCTTGGCCCCCCTTAACTTCTAATTCCACCTCTGCTCTTGAATAATTCATGCAATACTCTATTATATTGTTCTCTCTTGAGAATACTATTAGAATAACAGTAAATATTGATGTATAAAATTCTCAATCTTTGTTAAAAAGTAGATAGTTTGATAACAAGGCTTAACATAAATCTAGCATTAGGTAACAAATCTATTATTAAATTGAACTCCCTCATTGTATATTGCTCATGATTTACAATGAAGCCGGCCATCACTGTATTTATTTATTTATTTTGGTGTTGCGCCCAATGATCAAACTTGGTTAATTAACTTCACTTTTTGTGTCTTATTAATCAGCCCTTTTACAACATTTTCTCTATAAATATGATCATTTTAACAAAGCCAGAGCCATAAGAAAGAAAGTCACTTAGTTTAGGCAAAAACAAACACATTAAATAAACATGGCTAAGGCAAACAAGACAACAACCTTCTTGTTTAACTTGCTTCTGGCCATCTCTATTTTTCTCATGATCTCAGTGGCTGAAAGCAGAATTTTTGGATGTAAGTTTTGACATTGCATTGCAGTATGGATTGCATTTTATATTTTTTCAATTTTGTTTTTTAGTTTTAATTAGAGTGATGTTTATTACCTGTGTTTCTTCTACTAATATGCTGGTTTGTTATATATGATGGAACAGTTGGGTTTGGACAGCAGGCAGCTCCAAATTGTGACACAGTGTATGGGGTAGAAATTGGTGACACATGCTTCAGTGTTACCCAACAGTTCAACCTGACTACTGAGTTCTTCACTGAGATAAACCCTAATCTTGTCTGTGATAAGGTTTTTGTGGGTCAATGGCTTTGCATTGTTGGATCTGCAAACTAAGAAGTCAGTTGAAGAACCCACATTTCTTAAGGACTGACAAACATGACTGAATAAAGAGAAAC